AACTCTAGGGGGCGCCCACCACCTTGTGGTCATCGCAGGCACGTAGAGCTGTTTCAACAGGTATCTGGCTTAGTGGTTGTCAAGCACTGGGGAAGGGAGATTTTTCTAATTCTCCACTTTGTGCCACCAGGGTGGGCAGCGAGGGTGATAGATCCCAACCCGCCTGGGTGGCGGTAAGCTTTCTGTCGAGGGGTGTGGGCAGGGCTCAGGAAGACGCTGAGAGCTATGTTCTCATGCCTGGTCGGGGGTGGGGGGGTGACTCCTCACTGCGGGTGGAGGTGTTAGGGCCAGCCGTGTGGGTTCTGGGCTCACCTGCAGGTCCCCACGTCTCCCCCCACCCGGGGCCAGCTGACTTGCGTGAGTTGCTTCCACCTAAGCCTTGGTTTCCTGTCTGTGAATGGGTCTGGGGTTGTGCCCCAGTTTCACCCCTGGGGCTCTGAGGTTGTGGGGACATAGTCCTCAAGCTGGGTTGGAGGTTTAACAGAGAAACGTCAGGATTCCTCATGCTCCCCTCTCTGAGATTCCCGCCCCTTCCCAAACTACTCCACTCAGCCTAGATTCAGCATGTGTGTATGTGTGTGTGTGTGTGTGTGTGTGTGTGTTGGGAGGGGGTGGTGCTGATGATAAAGTCAGTATCTCTGGTGGGTGAGGCTTTTATATTCCTGGGGACGGGGAGCTTACTATATTATGTGCCTAGGACAGGAACCATGGGGCCTGGAGGAGACTTTTCAGGCCAGCCCCTGCAGTCTTTTCTGGCGTGACATGGTTTCCCCAGACCGACACCCCTCAGGTCCCCTCTCGGTGTGTAGGGGTTGGGGGGGCCTGACCAGAATAGAATGTGACACACTCAACATGTGAGGAAGGTTCTTTGTTCTGTAAATCATGCCTTTGGGTTTTTGTTTTGTTTTGTTTTTAAGATTTTATTTATTGATGAGAGAGAGAGAGAGAGAGAGAGAAAACACAAGGGGGGCAGGGGCAGAGGGACAAGCAGACTCCCTACTGAGCAGGGGAGCCCCATGCAGGCTCGATCCCAGGACCTGGAGATCATAACCTGAGCCGAAGTCAGACACTTAGCTGAGTGAAACCACCTGGGCGCCCCCATCATGCCTTTGTTGACATGGCTTTTAATGAGACCCCTTTCCTCCTGACTCCCCTCCCTGGAACCTGCAGCTGCTGCTAGGCTTTGTGCCCCCAGGCAACTTCCCCCTCCTCAGCTTGCCCCAGGCCAGGGATTTCCTGTTGGGATCACCTGGGGGGTTTGGACCACCCTCTGCCCACTCACACATTCTTCCTACCCTTCTGGTGCTGCAGATACGGCCATGTCTTATGCCTTCCCAGGCAGGGAGAAAATTGCTGAGCAGGCTCAGGCTGGGGGCAGAGCCCTATGTCTCTCCACTATAGACCCCTCCCCGCCGACTGCCCTGCAGTGCAAACCCCCTGACATCCTGGCTGGTGTCTAGCCCTCAGGGATGAGCCATGGGCCTTGGTCCCTGGATCCTGGCCTGTTCATCTTCTCGGTCATCCTGGTCTGCAGGTGATGTCCCGGGAGAAAGCTTAGTCATAGCACCCCCATCCTGGGGCCATGGAGGATTTACGTAGGAATGCATTTTTTGGTGGATTTCGTCCCAAGTCTGCTCAAGAGCAGTGGGTGAGAGGACAAGACTTGTTTTGATTGTGTGACCCAGGATGGGCCGCAATACCTGGTCAGCCTCTGTCTCTCTACCTGCTTATCGGCTGGCGCAGCCGTGTAGGGTGGTCATAGATTAGATAGTCCAGATGGAGACTGTGGGGGCTCCCAGGCAGCCTAGACACAGCTGGTTGGGAGCCAGGGAAGGAACCATGACTCAGGGAGTGGCTCAACCTTATTCTTGGCAGATGGAAGCCAAAGGGGAGTGGGAAGCAGGGTCCAAGGTCTCCTGGGCTGGGCATGCACTTGTTCCTGGGTCAAGCTCTCCTTGTTGGACTGGTAGGGACATGCAGCAACTTGGGGGCCGGTATGGGGTGGCCTGCTATGTATTGCTGGGCTCTGTGACTGGGACCAGCTCTGGCCCTCTCTGGGCCCTGCCTTTCCAGGCTGCTCCGGTGGTTTCTTGGGCCTGAGGTGCTAACATTCCTGCATAGGCAGTGGAACTGCTCTGGACTCGAGACCCCAGGCTATGTTCCAGGAAGTCACACTTGGCATCTGCCTGAGTGGTGTGGTAAAGGCTCTCAGATCCTGGTTCTGGACATCATGTTTGGCCCTGGAGTTCAGATGCTCTGAACAGGAACAGGGTGAGCTAGGGGGGTACCCAGCCTAGGGCTTGCTGGCGGGGTGCTTGCCAGTGGACTCTGCCCTTTGGGGGGAACCGAGGCCAAGAGAGGGGGACCCTCTGCCTCTGTCACCGCACCTCTCCTTCCCTGCTGGGGCCATACTCCTCACCTCCTGCCGTTGCCAGGAGGACCCCAAGAGTCACTGCTCTTATAGCACCTCCCATCTCCTGCCCAGGGCCCTCCCAGTACTGCGTGAACTTTAGTCACTTCGTGACAGGCCGAATCACTGCGCCTCTCTGCTGCCATGACGTCAGACTCTGGGGCTGTCCTCCCTGTCGGGCTGGATCTTTTAGAGGACAGCCTGTTCTCCACCCCACTCCGATACCTTCAACTGCCCCATGAGGTGGCTGGGTGTCCCCTGGCCAGCCGCTTGCCCGCTCTGGGACTCGGTGAGCAGGAGAGTTCCTCTACTCTCTCCTGCCCCTTTCCTGCCTCTGCTCCTCCTTGGAGGTGCCCTCCCTCCGATCCCAATCCCAGTTCAGAGGCCCCCTGAGGAGCTCTGCAGGGGCTGCAGGCGTGGCTCTGGGCCACTCCTGGGAGTGGGGGGGGGCGGGGTGGAGGGCCAGCCGGAGCTGTGGCCCGGACTTTCCCAGGCAGACAGATCTGGCCGTCTCCCAGCCCAGAACTTCTTCTGAGGACAGGAGCTTTCTTGGGCGCCTGCCAACCCCAGGCCTCAGGTAAGCCTCCCTGGGTCATGAGGAGTGGGGTGGGGGTTTGAGGCCAAGCGCTGTGCCCGACCTCTTCTCTGGCCTCAGTTTCCCCTCCTGACACCGATTTGGGTGAGAGCCAGGCCTCTGGGCTTGGACATTATTTTAATAAGTCTTTGAGAAAAATGTGGGTGTGGGAGGGGGGTGGGAAACGGAAGCCCAGTCCCCCGCAGGGTGTCTTCCGCAGGGCAGGGGACGTCTGCCTGCTGGGCCTGGGCTAGGCCTCCCTGCTGCCCTGCCCAGGGAGGAGAGGATGGGGGTCGGTGCTGTCCACCCCTCTCCATACTTCCTGGTAATCTGAGCCTTGCTCGGTGCCCCGTGGCCCTCTGGAAGCCCACCTGAGCCCTTGGGTGGTTGGATGGATGGATGGATGGATGGATGGATGGATGGATGGATGGACAGAGAGATGGATGGACAGGGGAGACTGGAGTACAGACCCCAGGAGGTTATGGCTGGACACTACAGGGGCCCGGGGGGAGGAGAGAGAGGGGGGCCCTGAAGGGGGTCTTGGCTCACAGCCCCAAGCCCAGGAGAAATGAGGCAATGCCCCCAAGGTGCCTAGTGGATGGGACTGGAGGGCCTCCTTGACAGGTGTGGCTGTGCCCATGCTGGAAAGGGGGTCACTGGCCTCTGTCCTACCCCACCCACCCCCACCACATGTGATGGGAAAGTTCTGTGTTCCTGGCCCAGCTCCTAAGGCCCCTTGGACCTTCCAGCACGGTTATCTCTACAAGGAATCCTTAACCCTGACCCAGCCTCCAGGGTGTGCTCCGAGGGCTCTCAGGCCTGCCAGTGCAGAGGGCATAGACTGTCCCCTGGAGCAGTGGCAGGGGGAAGGGACTGGTTGGCACTTTGGAGAGAGCCTTCTGCTGCTTTTCGGAGGACTGAGGAGCCAGTGATGCCGTCTGGAGGGAGGGTGGGGAGGAGGCTTTGCAGGAGTCCCACCAGAAAGGCTGGTGCCTGGATTCAGTCAGGGTGGGGAGGAGAAACTGGCTTGAATCCCCTTCTGGGGATGGAGGGTAGTGTCTGCTGTGTTGCTGCCCACTGAGCCTGGGAGGGGAAAGCCCTTCCGTGCTGGCTGGCTTCTGGATGTCCCCGATGTGGGGTGGGACTCCAGTCCTAGACCATTTCTGGGACACCGTGTCTGGCCCTGGAGCTCAGGCCCTCTGAATAGAGACAGGGTGAACCAGAGGGAGTCGCAGCCTGCGGCTTGTCAGCAGACAACCCCCCTTTGGAGGTAACTGAGATTACCTCTGTCACCACACCTCTCCTTCCTTGTGGTGGTCACACCCCTTGCCTGCTGCCAACACCCGCAGGGACCCAAAAGCTCACCCCTGGAGTCAACACGGAAACAGTGAGCAGGAGGCTGACCAGCTTCCTCCTGCCCTAGCTAGGCCTCCAGGGCATCACCGTGGTAGCCGATGACCATTACAGCCAACACTCCCCTACCACTCCAGCCTTTCCAATTCACTTAACCTTCACAACATACCCCTGCAGGATGCCTCTGTCATTCACGCTGGGCAGGTGGTCAGTGATGTGCCCAAGACCCCACATCAGATGAGGGGCAAGACCCAGATGGGATGAGCTGGCTCCAGGACCTGCATGCCCCATCCCCTTGGCCCGGCACACGGGGGCTTCACCACTTTGTCACATGACGCTCACACCACTGAACCCGGGCCTCGCTCTGGGCAAACCCTCTCTCGGCTGTGCCTGGAGACCTCCCTCAAACGTGGGAGCGGCTGACAGCCTCCTCTTCGGCTCCAGAGTTCATCTGGAGGCAGAGGAACCTCACAGAGCTCCTGGGGGAGGGCCGACTCAGCCTGTTTCAGGTATAGTGTCTCAATTTGCAGGAGAACAAGGAGGCTGTGTGGTCGGGGTGTTTCTCTGGAGCAGATTCTGTGGCCACGGGTGCCTGCAGTGTGTGAGGGAGACCCCAGTTATCTCATCAGCTGCTTCAGCCAACTGCCGCCTCCCCCGCCCCCGCTTTGGTGGCTACCCCTGCAGGCAAGGCGTGGGGCTCCCATCTGCTGAGAAAGGTAGGCCCCTGCCCTGTGGCAGCTCATCCAATGATTGGAGGAGACATGGCTGTCCGCTCCCTGAACCCCACAGTCTGTGGCAGGCCACTCTGGGGGGCCCATGGATGGTGCATGTCTCCGGGCTGAGGTGGGGGTCACAGAAGGAATCGGACCAGGCTTGTCCCTTGTGGAGTTCCCTGCTTGGCAGTGACTCCCACTGTAGGAGATAGACAAGGCCCGGCAGAAGCAGGGGCACGTGGAATCTGGGGGCTCCCAGGAGAGGTTTCTGTTGGAGATGGGGTCTTTACTGGAATGGGGCCTTGAGGATAAGCAGGGAGATTTGGGAGGTCAGAGAATGGCGTGGCAAAGGTCAGGGGGCTGGAAGGAGACACGGGGACATGTTTCTGAGGCTTGATCTTGGGCTGTGCCCTGTGAAGGTGAGGGTCAGGATGTGCCCGAAGGCAGTCCCCCGACCCTGTTAACCCCCACCTCCCCTCCCCCCCACCAGGGCCCACAGAGCCATGAAGAAGCGGTGTGTGTTCCTGGCCCTGCTGGCCGTGGTCGTCATGCTCTTGCTCATCATTTGCCTGGGCCTTCTGCTGCCCTCAGCCTCTAAGCCACACAACCATGTCTACTCCAGGGCGGCCGTGGCTGCAGATGCCAAGCACTGCTCGGAGATCGGGAGGTGAGTGGGCAGGGCGTGGGAGCACAGGAGGACCTCTGCAAGTGGATCTGGGCAAGACCCTCATCCCTCTGAGACTCAGTTTCCCCACCTGTCCATGAGCTACCCAGACAAGGGGTGTCTGACGCACGTGGAGCTGCCTGTCCTTTCCTTGGAACTTCTCTGCAGCCTCTGGTCAGGGCAGAAGGGGACACTGACTCCAAGAGCAGGGTGTGGGTTTCCCAGTGCCCAGCTGGGCCCCTTTTCTCAGACCTAAGGATCTCTGTCTCTTTGGATAAACTGCTGTTTTATGCTATTTTGGACCCCTGTCTCACATTATACACAAAAATCAGGTCCCACTTAAGAGACTTAAACAGAAAAAAAAAGTTACGGATGAAAGTAACAATTTTCCAATTTTCTTTCTAATATAAAAGTCATGTACATCTGTTTGCTTGAAAAGAAACACCATACAAGCCCACTGGCTTTAGACTTTTATGTAAAACCCCAGAACTATGGGCTCTTCTTCCATCCTCCTTTGGGCAGGGCGGCCCGGCAGGGTGGAGGTGGGTGAGAGGGTGCCTGTGTTGGGGTGGGTCGGGGAGACTTTAGGTGCTCACTCCCTACCACATGCCGTGGGTAGGGACGTGCTGAGGGAAGGCGGCTCGGCGGTGGATGCTGCCATCGCAGCCCTGCTGTGTGTGGGGCTCATGAACGTCCACAGCATGGGCATCGGGGGCGGCCTGTTCCTCACCATCTACAACAGCACCACACGTGAGTGCCCCCAGGGAGCGGGAGGTGAATGGCAGGAGCTGTTTATCTCAGGCTGGACTTGGGCTGGGGGCAGGCAGAGCTGGGCGGCCCCTGGGCTCACACCCTGGGGTGAGGGGGTTGGTGCTGGTCCGGACTGCCCACCTGCTTCTGCTTCCAGGAAAAGTTGAGATCATCAATGCCCGCGAGGTGGCCCCGGGGCTGGCCTCTGAGAACATGTTCAACACCTCAGAGCAGTCACAGGAAGGTGAGGTGTAAGCTAAGGGTGTGGGTGCAGAGCTGGGCTGAGCTGCTGGGAAGGCATGGGCATCTGGGGCTGGGGACAGCTCTGGCTGGGCTGATGCCTACCCTTCTCAGCCTTTCCTGGCCCCACAACAACCTCCCGTAACGAACAGTCAAGACCATCATCACGGAGGGAAAAGAGACGGAGCTTCCGTTATTTCTGCTCAGGTCCTTCCAGAGCCACCCTGTGTTAGTACATGGAGGGAATAATTATTTCAACAGCTTGCACATACCGGGGGTCACTGGGGCCAGCACTCTGCTCAGCCCTTTTCACCGATGAGCCCCTTGAATCCTCCCTGTATGCTTGGGAGTCCAGGGAAGCGCTGTGTTGATTCTCATTTTACAGGTCCAGAGAGGTCATGCAAACCAACTGAGGTCACACAGCTGGATGGTGCTGAGGCCAAAATTGAACCTGGGCTGTCGAAACCCTGAGTTTTTCAAAGGCATCCAAGTCATTCATTTATTCGTTCATTTGTGGGGCTAGCTCTCGAGAGGCAGCAGAGTCTTTTCTTTTTTTTAAAGATTTTATTTATTTATTTGAGAGAGAGAATGAGATAGAGAGAGAGAGAGCGAGCACGAGAGGGAAGAGGGTCAGAGGGAGAAGCAGACTCCCTGCCGAGCAGGGAGCCCGATGCGGGACTTGATTCCGGGACTCCAGGATCATGACCTGCGCCGAAGGCAGTTGCTTAACCAACTGAGCCACCCAGGCACCCCAGAGTCTTTTTTTAACAAGGTTTTATGCAGAGAAGAGGCCCCCAATCTCCCCATGCAGCTGAGGGGAAGCCAGTGGCCACCAGGGCGTGCTGCTCCCAAGGACCCAAATGGATTGCAGGATAGGAGTTTGGAGGCAGGACAAGCAGGACTTACTGGGCACCTCTTAAAATGCCAGGGGCTGTTCCGCAAGCCAGGAGACAAAGCAAAGGCAACAGGCGAAATCCGTGGCCCAGTCAAGCCAGGAGAGCAGAGGCGGGAAGAGCCGGAAGGCGTGCGATTCACCAAGTACAGCCTGCTCAAGGAGGGGGTGTCTAAGCAAAGACCCAGAGGCTGGAGTGGAGTGAGGGGTGTGCAGGTGTCTGGGGGCAGAGCAAGTGGCCCACGTGGGAACCAGTGAGGCTGCAGTGGGTGATCCCGGGGTCAGAATGGTTCAGGTGGTGTCAGACCTCATGGATCATTGCGAAGACCCTGCCTCTTGTCCGAGAGAGGTAGCAGTGTCCCCTGGGGTGTTTGTGGGGGTGGATCTGGCCTAGGTCGGACAGAACCCCTTGGGCTGCTGCAAAAGGGTCAGGGAGCAAGCCGCCTGCCTGTCAGGTGACCTATCAGGAGGTCACCACGATAATCAGGGAGAGAAGAGGGTGTTGGGAGGCGGTTGGTACTCAACGTACTTAGAAGGTGGAGCCTGTGCATCTGCTGATGGGTTAGGTGTGACACATATGCGAAGCGTCCTGGATGACTGGTCTTTGATCTGCATCTGGAAGGGTGCCCCTAAGAGAGAACAGCAAGGCTTCGAGGGACTGGGTTTGGGTGACAGGCGGGAGTCGGGTTTTGAGTGTGTTAAGTTTGAGATGCCTTTTTGGCGTGGACAGGTGCATCCTCAGATCTGGTCCTTAGAGGAGCAGGCCGGGCCAGAGAGTACAGCTGGAGTTGTCAGCACATAAATGGACCTTGAAGCTCTGATCTGGGGGAGTAGACAGAGGAGGCTCTAGGAGAGCCTGGCAGGTGGGATGCAGAGGCGACCCGGGAGGAGAGAAGGGTTAGGTAAGGTGAAGTTAGGAGGGGACCCTGGTCTGCCAGTATGCGGGTCACTGGTGACCTTGGTGAGCAGGGTGGTGTGAGACCTGATTGGCCCAAGTTCAGGGCAGCATTTATTTAAGGTGGGGGGAATTATGGGCTGGGTGTCAGACCTTCTGAGATGTGCAGACATGTAGATCCTAACAAACTGGCTCTCGTGCCCAACTTCAGGTTGTTATGAACCTAGAAGCTGCCTAGTCTGGGAGTAGCTGAAATGGCCCCGGTCATCCAGGGTGAAAGCAAGAGGGTGTCTGGGAGCAGGGGCCGTGGCTGTACCTTTCTGCATCAGTGTCCAGCTTAGGGCACGGTGGGCGGTGGGGGTGGATGCGAATCAGGGTCCATGGGTGTTTCCAATGGAACTGTGGGTTCCTCTAAGGTCAGCTGGGAGAGACAAGCTCTTTGTGGTCAGATGGGGAAACTGACGCCCAGAGAGGGTACAGGGCAAGGGTTTGGGTTCAGGTCCTGGTTGCTGTTTTTTTTTTTTTTTTTTTAAGATTGTATTTACTTATATGACAGAGAGAACGAGAGCGAGCACACAAGCAGGGGGAGCAGGAGAGGGAGATGCAGGCTCCCCGTGGAGCAGGGAGCCCGATGCGGGACTCGATCCCAGGACCCTGGGATCAGTACCTGAGCTGAAGGCAGACGCTCAACCAACTGAGCCACCCAGGGGCCCCTCGGGTCCTGGTTCTGGGAAAGTAGAAGGGAGGAAGGGGGAGGTCTTGCCTTGGCACTGCCTCAGGGTCGAGGATGGCCCGGGCTTGCACTGGGGACTTTGGTGGGTTCTGGTGGACCCCTTGAGCCTGTGGGCGAGGAGGCTCAGACTGAGAGATGGCAGGGGTCTGGCTTCCCCACAGTCTTGGTGCGCAGCTGTGGGCCTGGCACAGGATTTCAAACCTGGTGGCCCTTGCAGAGGCAGACATCTAGTCCTGGGACCGCAGAACCCAGCACAGGAGGCACCTCTTCCCACTGTGGCCTCCCTCACGTGTCCCAAGCAATCTACACTCTTGCCTGCCGAGTCCAGATATGACAACTCCCATTTCTTTCCGAAACCTCACTAATCCCATGTGGGGACTGTGCCTAGGTTGTGGCCTGAGAGAGCATCCCTCCCGATGTCCCCGGCCTGGAGCCACTAATTGTGTGTGTCCCTGTCCCTGTGCAGGGGGCCTGTCGGTGGCGGTTCCTGGTGAGATCCGCGGCTATGAGCTGGCCCACCAGCGGCACGGGCGGCTGCCCTGGGCTCGCCTCTTCCAGCCCAGCATCCAGCTGGCCCGCCAGGGCTTCGCCGTGGGGAAGGGCTTGGCAGCAGCCCTGGAGAAAAGCCAGGCCGTCATTGAGCGGCAGCCTGCGCTGTGGTATGTCTGTGGGGGTTGGCCTGCCCTGGGCCACAGGCTGGGCACACGTGGCCCAAGGTCCCTGCAGGCTGTGACTGACTGGCAGAGTGCTTTCAGGAACCTGTGCTGATGGAGGGATGAGGTCTAGAATACAAGAACCCTTCCCAATGTGTGTGGGATCACATTCTGAGCCTGCTGCCCAGGGTCCCAGGCTTGTGAGTCCTGAGTGGCAGGGGCTCTCGGAGGCATGGGCTAGACACCAGAGGATGAGGGCCACCCACCTGTGGACAGGTGCTCACTGTCCTTTGATCTCCTTTGTGGTTGGGTGGGAGTGGCTGGCTGAATCCGCCCCGCCTGCCGGCCTCACCGGAGCCTCTCTGCCCCAGCGAGGTGTTCTGCCGGGATGGGAAGGTGCTGCGGGAGGGGGACAGAGTGATCATGCCGCGGTTGGCCGACACGTACGAGACGCTGGCCTTGGAGGGAGCCCAGGCCTTCTACAACGGGAGCCTCACAGCCCAGATTATCAAGGACATCCAGGCTGCTGGTGAGTGGGCAACCTCAGGGACCCCGGGGAAGGAACCCTGAGCCAGAGCTCAGAGGCCTTAGGTCCTCTGGTCCCGCCTGGCCCGGGGCACTAGGCCCTTAGGCAGCATCTGGCGGGGAAGGGGAGGCAAAGGATACATCTGCAGTCAGTGACGGGCCACGTGGATCTACAGATCTTGGTTAGGTCAAAACTGAGAGACCAGTGCAGTTCAGGAGAGAAAGTTCTCGGTGGATAAATGCTCGGGCTGAGGGAGCATTGAAATGCAGATCTGGGAGGACTTCCCAGAGGAGGTGGTACTTGAGCTACAGATGAGGCTGGAGAGAGGAAGAGCATTTCTGGCAGATGGAATAGGCTAAGGCCCAGAGAGGGTGAGCTATAATTATCCCTGAGGGTCACAGCAGATGAGGGTGGGCTTGGTGGGCTTGGTGGGCTTGGTGAGAGAGGCCTTGGAGGGGCTACAAGCAGGGACAGGTTCTGATGAATTTCAGCCAGGCAGCCTTTGGCTGCCTCTCTGTCCCCAGCTGTGGATTTCTTCATACTGTTATTGTGGTCCCAGACATGGAAGAGGGTGATTAGCATGTTGACCTTTAGGACTGATGCAGGAAATTAGCCTATAAATACCTGGTCTGTCTGGAGCCCGTTCCCTGTAGAATTAAGAGCCTCCTTTCACTCCCCCCCCCCCCCCCCCCCCGCCCCATTCGTCTCTGGAGGAGAGGAACTGGGCGGGGGGAGATGGGAGCAGATACTTTCCACTTGGAGAAGACTCTCTGGCGGCTAGGAGGAGAGAAGGCAGACCTGGAGGCCAGTGGGGCAAACAGGTGGAGGGCAGCTGGCCTAAGCCTGGCAGTGGGGAAGTGGCATCTTCAGGGAGCACAGAGGGACTTGGGGGTGGGGCCATGGGGGGGTGGAGGGGCAGGGACCCACAAGGTGGGCAGGGCTTTCAGTTGGATGGTCTTGTCCTCCCCTCAGATGTGGGGCCCCATCCCCATGTCCGCCCACTGAGCTGCTCTTTGCAGGGGGTATTATGACTGCCAAGGACCTGAACAACTACCGTGCCGAGCTGATAGAGAACCCACTGAACGTCAGCCTTGGGGATGCCCATCTCTACGTGCCCAGCGCCCCACTCAGTGGGCCGGTGCTTGCTCTTATCCTCAACATCCTCAAGGGTGAGCTGTCCCTGCAGGAGGCAGAGCAAAGTGACCAGGGCTGTGGGGGCGATGGTCAGGGGCTGGAGGAGGGGGAGGAATGGTCGGGAGGTAAAAAGGTTTGGAGCAGTGTCCTGGGGTGGGAACAGCTCCTGCAAGGGCTTAGGGGTGACAGGGTCTGTCTGGCTTGCCCGGTTACTCAATGCTGGAAGTTCACAGCTCAGGGGGCCTGGTCCAGAGGATGTGTGTGGCAAATCTAAGTGATCTTCTGGGACTGGCTAAGACTGGGTAGCCCTTCCGGCTGGATGTTTGAGGCCCAGGCCCAGAGGTCCCTTGCCTCATTCCATCCTTACATTGCTCCAAAGTGTCCACTGGTAGTTATTAAACGTTCCCATTCTCAAGCTGGGCCAAGCGAAGTGATTCAGGGAGGTGTGAGCCTACCCCGGGGGCACCCAGCTGTCTTGGCCGAGCTGGGGTGTTCCAAGGGCCCCAGGACTGCAACGTGTCCCCATCTCTGCTCAACCAGGGTACAACTTCTCCCGGGCGAGTGTGGAGACACCCGAGCAGAAGGGTCTGACCTACCACCGCATTGTGGAGGCCTTCCGGTTCGCCTATGCCAAGAGGACTCTGCTTGGCGACCCCAAGTTTGTCGATGTGATGGCGGTAAGAGGCAGGGGCTGGCCCGTGATGGGTGGGGGGGGCCTGCCATGGAGGTGCCAGGATGGCTCCCTGGGGCCACCCCAGCCTCACACATGCTTAATTAATCCATTCCTACCACCAACTTTGGTGGTGGGCCTGCCATGTGCTGGAGTGGACTGGTGACCCTGAGTTTGGCCCTCTGCCACAGGGAGCTCACAGTGTGACAGACTCGACAGTGAGTGATTAGTACCCCCTACCCCTGGCCACACTCCCACCTTGGGGGCTGTACCCTTGGCCTGGGAGGTTTTGGAATGTTCAGTGCTGAGGTGAGGAATCCATGGCGGGGGGGGGGGGGGGGGGGGGGGTCACCCCCCGGGGGGGGGGGGGGGGGGGGGGGGGGGGGGGGGGGGGGGGGGGGGGGGGCTTGCAACCCTCAAGGGTAATGAGGAGGATGGGGGAGGGAGAGGGGTGGTGGTCTGGGTGGCAGAGGCCTCGGCCACCGGCTTGCTGGTCACACCCGGGAGATAACGCTTCCCTGATTCCCCCCCGCCCCAAGGCCCTGCACAGCCTGACCCACTCACGGCCAGATGCCCCAGCTCCAGGCTGGGCCTTCACTGAGACTCCCGTCATGGCCCCCCTTACCTACTTAGATCCCCCATCCCGGGGCAGATCCGTAGACCCCCTCACACGGACCTGTGCCTCTCAGCTGCCCCTCTGCTCTCCTGGATCTTTTTTCTTTCCCGAGGACCATTTCACAGTACTCCCCACTGCAGCCTGTGACTTGGGGTCGCGTACCCCTGGGGCCACTCCCTCTCTGCCCTCCCTCCTGGCTGAGGCTGACCCCTCTGCTCAAGCACTTGCCGACTCAGCATGCCCCTCCCACAGCACTGCCCTACAGTGATGGATCATTCCCGAGAGAGGCATATCCTTGTCACTTCAGAGCCCCCAGCTGCTGCCCCCCATTCCTCTGCTTCCACTCAGAGCACACTGGGCCGCTCCATCCCTTTCTCATGCCCTCTCCCATCAGGCTCTGCCCTCCTCGCTCCACATTCCCCCTGCCAGGACCCCTCACTCCACCCCTGCAGTCCAGCCTCAGTTTCCCCCTCCGGCCCCCCTCAGCAGCGTCTCACACAGTTCAGTTTGCCACCTCCTTTCCCCAGCTTTTCATTTTGCAAAGTGGTGGACATTTTGCCACATTCCCTCCCTCTCTCCCTGCATCCATCCACCCCTTTATCGATATGCATGTGTTTTTTCGGGTATCAGATGGTCAGTCCCCGATAGCATACTTTGGGTCGTAGCTCCTAAGACAGGACTCCTACATACTGCCATCAAGAGGATCTGGCCTGTTAGACACCTGTGTTCCCAAGGGTCCCAGGGTTGTTTAGGTCCAGAGCCCATCAGACTCAACTCTTGTTGTTCTGTCCCTCCAGTCTCTGAACCTACAATAGACCTCTTGGCTGTTTTGCTGATTTTTAAAGCCCAGGGCAGTCATATTGCAGAACCATCCCACATCCTGGATTTGACTTTCTGTTTTCTTGGGAGTCGATTCAGCCTGAACATTTTCCCTGGGGGATGTTGCTAGAAAATTCTGGAGGCATTTCCTTTGCTCAGTCCCCAGGGCCTTTCTTGCTGGCTCCTGTGTCATCTCCTCTCCTCTTTGTCCTCACCGCCGTGGGGACCCTGTTCAGGCTCACAGCTTTAAGCAGCCACCGGAAGCTGGTGGCTCCATGTTTATCCCTCAGCCGGGTCTTGCCTGTCAACTCCACACACACACAGATCCATGACCCACCTGAAACAGGAAAGGGTACCTGTTCAGAATCAAGGCTCCTTACTGTCCCCTTCACTGCCCCTTCCGCAGTGTTTGCCTCCCCAGTTCAATGGCCGCTCTGGATGGAAGACTTTGGGGCCATTGTTTCTCTCCCATCTGGGTCAGCCACCATCTGTCACTTGGTTGATGCCATAGCCTCCCGGTTGGGTTCTACGCTACACCCCCACACAGCTGCCGGAGAGATCCTGTGAACTACCAGTGTGCCCCTTCCTCTGTCCCAGGCCCAGGTGGCTCAAAGCAAAAGCCAGACTCCTTATAGGGCCTCTGAAGACTTACAGAATAACCCCCTGCTAACATCTTCCACCACCTCTCTCTTTGACCCTATTCACCCTCTGCCTGTCACTCACAGGCCTGCCTCAGGGCATTTGCATTTACCACCAGGCCTTACTCAGGCCTCTTTTCAGCTGTCACCTCCTCTGAGAAGCCCTCCCTGACCACCTCGCCCCCACCTCATCCCTCTCCATCCCCTTTACCTCGCTTGTTCTTTCCAGCATGTCTCTGCCTGCCTTTGTCTTCCCTGCCAGGAGGGCAGGGACCTGTGTGTCTGTTCCCTGTTGATCCAAGCATGCAACACAAGCTCCATGAACGAATGAATGATTGAATGCGGCCAGAGTGGGGGCTTGTGGGTGGACAGATAAATACTGAGTTGCTGGACGGTAGCAGAGGCAAAGGCTGGAAAGGGGATCAGACGGGCCACGTGAGGTTGGGGGTGCAGGAGGGTTGTGGTCAGGGCCATGTCGGGGGGCTTCCCAAGAGCTGCTCGCACAAGCCTGTGCCCCCTCCCCCTCCTCCCCCCCCCCACCTCCTCAGGCCAGCTCTGGGGTCTCGGCAGGTGGTCCGCAACATGAGCTCCGAGTTCTTTGCCGCTCAGCTCCGGGCCCGGATCTCTGACAACACCACTCACCCGACCTCCTACTATGAGCCTGAGTTCTACACGCCTGATGACGGTGGCACTGCTCACCTCTCCGTGGTTGCAGAGGACGGCAGCGCTGTGTCGGCCACCAGCACCATCAACCTCTAGTAGGGGCTGCCAGGTGACCCTGGGTGGGCCAAGGGCTGCTTGCATCTCCCAGATGGGAGCTCCATCAACCCCTTTCGTGGGGGGAGAAACCGAGGCGCTGGACCTTGGTAGAGCACCTGCCCCCAGCCTCACTGCGGTCAAGCTGGAGCTTTGGTGGGTGGGTGGGGGCTGGGTCTGGCATAGCTGTCTGATCCCGCTGGTCTGCAGCTTTGGTTCCAAGGTACGATCACGGGTCAGCGGGATCCTGTTCAATGATGAGATGGATGACTTCAGCTCCCCCAACATCACCAACCAGTTTGGGGTGCCCCCCTCACCAGCCAACTTCATCAATCCAGGTGTGGGGTGGGGGGCTCAGGTGGGGAGAGGGCTGGTGCCCTGGGCAGGCAGCTGACCGGCATCTCTGTCCCTGCCCACCCATCTGTTGACCACAGGGAAGCAGCCGCTCTCGTCCATGTGTCCGGCGATCATCGTGGGCCAGGATGGCCAGGTCCGCATGGTGGTGGGTGCCTCTGGGGGCACACATATCACCACGGCCACCGCGCTGGTATGTGCCACCTACCTATCCCCGCCAGCCCCTGCCCCTGGGCCACACTGACCCGTTCCCCTCCACCCCCAGGCCATCATCCATAACCTGTGGTTTGGCTACGATGTGAAACGGGCAGTAGAGGAACCCCGGCTGCACAACCAGCTTCTGCCCAACACCACGACGCTGGAGAGAGGTTTTGACCAGGTGGGGCAGGGCCAAGGAAACTGAGTCACAAGGGGAGGGTCACAGGGTGTCCTAGGATGGAGGCCTAGATCTCCTGAGTCATCATAGACTACAGCCTCTGCCTGGGGCAGATGACCTTCACATCTACTGCCCGGGCCATCTTGACCCTCTGTGCGATGGGGGTCAGACCACCTGCTCCAGGGAGACCCAGTAGGCCCAGTTGCCCCCAACTTGTTGTTCCTGGCCACTGGGCTGGAAATGGCACCACCTGTGCGGTTCAGTGTGGGTCTATGTAGTTCCAGTGGCATAGTGGGCCCTGCTGAGGCCTCTCTGTCCCCTCCCACCTCCAGGCGGTGACCGCAGCTCTGGAGACCCGGCACCATGACACCGAGGTTACGTCCACCTTCCTCGCTGTGGTGCAGGCCATTGTCCACACGGCCGGTGGCTGGGCAGCTGCCTCAGACTCCAGGAAAGGCGGGGAGCCTGCTGGCTACTGAGTGCTCAGGGCGGGCAAGGCTTACTGGCAACCTAGGGATGAGATGCCTGCTGGGGCCAGAGTGGGACCTTGAGGGATTTGCTTCCCCTGTGAGTGACAAAGCAGTGCAATAAATGGGGGTCGCAGCGTGAGGCTCTGGGCAGCCTTGCCGGCCCGGCTCCCATATCCCTGGGCCTCAGTATCCTATGTGTGAAATGGAGGTGGCCGGTGGGGAAGGGAGGAGAGGATGGATTCAGAGGTCTTTACCCCTCGGGTGCTGGAGCTAGCCTGAGAATGTTCTCGAGAGCCCGGCGGGTGGGTGAGTGGGGACAGGGCCCACTCATACCAAGTGCTGTCCTTCCTCACCCGGAGCCCCAGGACCAGGGGGCCCAGTCGTCCCTTTTCTGGCCGGGGTAGTGGCACTTGCTAGGATCGACCACCAGGGGGCGGTGCGGCTCTGGAGTTTTGGGGCAGTGCGCCACCCGCAGATGCTTGTACCCCAGCTACCTCGTCAGCCTGGCGGGTGTCCCCTGCTCACACTGTGGAGGACACATGGAGGTGAACCTGAGGTCTGAAGAGTGGGATTGGGCAAGAGGCTGGAGCAAAACATCTTGGTCAGGGCCAGGCCTGGGGGTGGTTTCCAAGCACAAACCCAGAATGAAAACCAAGCTGTGATCAGCTCCAGAAAGAGGCCCAGTTCTCAGGGAACAGTGAACTGGGAGAGGTCCCCAGATCCCACGGGTCAGGGTGTGGACCTGTGGGCGGCTGGAGAATGCAGCCCAGAAAGAGGGGCCTGGAGGGGAGCAGTGAGACACAGCGGCCTCCCTCCTCCCCAGTGCACCAGCCCCTCCCGCCCTCCCTCAGGGTCTGCTAACTTGATGGAACGTCTGACTGAGAAGATATGAGAGACTGGCTGGGGTGGGCAGGGGAGGATGGGTCACGGCCTGATGGCCAGGTATCCCCCCGACCAGGGAGCATAAGTGCAGACCCCTGAGGGCACAGGCACAGGGGCCACCCCAAGTCTGGGCTCTCCTTCAGGAGGCAGGAAAACTTGGTGTTTCGAAAGTGCCCACAAGGAAACGGGGTTTTGTGTCTGCAGAGTCTGGGCCCTGAACCTGGGAGGACGGTACCTCTGGGGTCCTCTGGGGACAGGATGGAGGCTGAGCTGGTGGGGTGTGCAAGTCTCCTCAGCCTTCATTTTGGCCCCAGAGGAAAGGCCATGGCCGCGTTTGCAGGAGAGAAGACTGAGGCCTGAGGGCTAGTCTTGTTCTGGGTGGAGGTTAAGCTCCTTGGGTTCCTGCACATGGGCTGGGTGCACCCAGTTCCCCAGGCCCCATGGGGCTCAGCTGAGGTCTCCGTCAGGTGCTGGAGGACTTGGTTTCCTCTCTTTCCTTCCCATTGACTCCTGCACACCTCACCTCCTGCACAAGGATATTCAGGGCCTTTCCCAGCTCAGCCTGTCCAGCCATACCTCTAGCCAGGCCTAGCATGATGCTTTCCTTTCCTGGGACTTTGCTCCTCTGGTCCTGGCACCTGACCTCAGCCTGACCAGCATGGCTGGGGAGATGGGGGAGTGTCCCACCCTCAGCACCTCAGACCTGCTGTCTCTGCTGCCCCTGCCTTCCCAGCAGGGGGGCTGGCCCTGGCCCAGCAATGCATTTTGTTTCTGGGCTGAGCAATGTCACTGGCACGGGGGACAGTTGGGGCAGAAGAATGCGCCCACAGTCATCCGCACCCCACAGAGCAGCTGTGGGAACAGGCCCACTGGAGAGCCTGCCCAGGCTGACCAGGGGCTCGGGATGGGGCTGGCAGGCTGTGTGGCTGTGTGGGCGGTTCCTCTGCTGTACCAGGAGGTGTCAAGAGGCCTGGGGCAGGCAATGCTCAGCTGGGAAGGAAGCCAGAGAATGGGGGGTGGGGGGGGCGCGTGTGGGTGGGAGTCCTGCCTGTGGACCCTGCACCCTGTGCTCCTGCTAAGCCTGGTCAAGAGGAGCCTCAAGGGTCCCCCTCCCCCAGCTGCCTCCCTGTTGGGTACCCTGAGGCCTGGGCAGGGGAGGATCTAGGCTAGTGTCCCCAGGAGAGGCTCACAGCCAGCACAGATGGACACAGGGAAGCACACAGCCAGGGAAGCGCCGAGATGCTTCCCTGGGATGGGAGGGCAGCCTCGTTCTCAGGAGGCTCATGGTGGCCTTTAGACAGCAGGCCCCAGGGGTGGATGGTCTGGTGGGCAGTGGGGGCCAAGGGCCAGATGCAGCCTACAGATGTCTTGTAGTCCTGGGTGTTTGATGCAGATTGGGAAGCTGAGCCCCGTCCTGGTCACCCCTGTTTCCTGGCTAGGCTGCGACTGAGCTGCGACTCGAACCCGGGTCCTGAGTGACATTGCCTTGGGTCCCCCCTCCCTCTGTCTCTGGCCCCCTTCAGCCCCAGCGCTGGGCCCCAGACATCCTCAGTGTCCTCTGGCTCTGGGAATGCTGAGGCAAGCTGTTGCTAGGGGGAACCGCACCAAGAAGGCAGGAGCCAGGGTGTCACTGTGGTCCCCTTGTCCCTCTGAGACTGATCCAGGGAAGGGGACTGGGCAGGCCTGCGCCCTGCTGACCTGGCTTTGCTGGGAACTGGAGGACAGCCGTGGGGGCTCCGGGCAGCCTGTACCCTGGCTCCCTCAGGGACAGGAGGTGCCAAGTCCTCAAGCATGTGGGTTGGGATAGCCCTGGGCAGGCGGGGTGTCTGTACCATCAAGACAAGGCTGTGGGAATGAGGGAGTTAACAGCAGTTGCTTCTCCTCTCTGGAAGGAAAACTCCCCATAAACGCCCTGCTCCCTGGCCTCCTGCCAGGGCCAAGAACAGGGGCTGAAAACTGGAAGTTCAGGCGTGCGGCCAGCCCTGCCTCTGTAGCAGGCGCTTGGGTAGGGCAGCAACCCCGCCGCTGGCTGCCGGTCCATATACCCACCTGTCCGCCGGGGCGCCGCTCTTCGTCTGTAAGCCTGTCTGTCCCTCCGTCTGCAATCCCGTGTCTGTCCAGCTGGCTCTCCGACCATCCTTCTCTTACTGTCCTATGTCCAGCTGTCTGGACTGTCAATCCGTTTGTCTGTCTCTGGCCTCCATCTGTTTGTTCATCTGTCCAATCACCTGCGAATCCAACTGCGCATCTTCTTGTGCGTTCATCCACCCATCTGTCTGTCCACCTGCCTTCTCTCTCCACTCTGGGCCTCAGAGCCATGGCCCAAGGCCGCAGGACCACAGTCAGCATGGTGCTGCTGGGGTTGGGGCTGGCCTTGGCCATTATCGTGCCCGCCGTGGTCCTCTCTCGCCGCCACACCGGCTGCGGCCCCCAGGCCTTTGCCCACGCTGCGGTCGCCGCTGACTCCAAGGTCTGCTCGGACATTGGACGGTGAGTAAGAGGTGGGTGGGAGCTGGGTGGCTCTCGGTGGCTGGCCCCTCCTGGAGACTTTGTGACTGGTGGTGAGAGTGTGGAGAAGTGTGTGTGTGTGTGTGTGTGTGTGTGTGTGTGTGTGTGTATGTGTGCGTGTACTCATAGTGGGGGCCACATGGTTTTGGATTCCAGCAAGGACGTGGCCCCAGGACCCTTGCACAGAGTAGGAGGCAGATGTGTGCCCAGGACAGAAGGGGGGTTGGGGATATTGACGGAGGTGGTGTGTGAGTCTCTTCCTAGCTCTAGGGCTCAGGAGGCCTGGAGAGGGCACTGCCACAGCATCACTGGTCTGGCCCAGGCTGACCCTGATGACTGGCGCCGGCCCTTCAGAGAAGCCACAGCCGTTCTCCAAGGCTGGGGTTTTTCCCCAGAAGCATGGGCAAGTCCTGGCCTGTCAATGTGCACTCAGTGCTGCCCAGGGCCAGTCTCATCCTGGCCCGGGACCTGGGAAACCTGCCCTTGCCAGCACCATGTCCCCCACTGCCTCCCCTTCTAATGTCAGGGCCTGGGGCCCAGCCAGTGACTGTTGGATGTTTGGGGCCGGGACAAGGTGGGTGTTAGAGAGGGGCCCCAGCTGGTGTTTTCCAACCCTTTTCCAGGAAGCCCAGCCCATGGGAGCCTTCCGCTGCCCACCGGGGCAGAACATAGCAGGACACCCCTCCTGGCCCTTGGCCACCAGCCCGGGCCGAGGAGAAGCTCGAGCAATCACCCCCCTCCCTGCTGGCTGGATCTGTTTCCCGGAATAACTGCCTTATGGATCATTGTCAGGATCAGAAGTGCTTTGTAAACCCAGGGGACAGTCCCGGAGCAAGGGGGAGCGTGGTCAAGTCCCGGCCCAGGTGGTGTCCCGTGTCACCTTTGTGCTGGCTTCCCTGTTCCTGCATGCGTTATCTTTCTGTTCCAGTCAGTCACCTTCTCCTTCTTTCCTTCCTTTGTCTGTCCATCTGTCTCTCCTGCCTGGTCCTCTTTCCCCTCCCTCAGGGCTCCTTCTAGGATGAGGGTGGCAGCTCAGGCGGCATGGTCTCCCCAGGGGCCTTCCAGGTGATGGCAGGGGAGTGAGCCTCCCTTCCTCCATGCTCTGGGGAGCGTACAGAGGTGCCGAGCCCACCGGAAACTGTAGCTGTAAAGATGCAAACAGGGCCTGGGGCTTTAGGCCCGAGACCACTGACAGAGTTGTGGCCCCCAGCAGTGGGAACCACTGCCACATTTCTCTGGGGCGGGGGTCCTCTGTGGCATATCCTGCTGTGGTGTGAGGGTTGGGCTGGGGGTCTCTGCTCAGAGCCCATGATGCCCCCTGCAATTCTCCTTGGTGAGGACAGAGGATGTGGCTTCTCCCCTGTGTTTTGTGTATTTGTCAAACAGCGCTCTCCACTTCCTGTTCTTGTTTTAAGAAGCCCGGAGTGGGAGGGAGCCTGGAGCTGACCCCAGCTGCCTTGGAACATGGGACAAGAGACCCTGGCTGGGCTGGGGGGCCTGCTGGCCAAGGTCCATCCCCTTGAGGGCTCCTGGCCATGCTGCTGTGGGGTCTGAAAGGAGCTGCCGGTCTGAAGCCCACTCTCCTTCCCCCCTGCTGTCCCCAGCTTCCCCACCACCATCTCCTCTCTCCAGCAGGACCTCCCAGACCCAATCTCCTCCTACGCGACCAGCACCAGGTTTACTCCTTTGGGGCTGGGCCTTCTGCTGCAGCCAGAGCTCCTGGGGGAGGGTTTTGTTTTTTTTTTTAAGATTTTATTTATTTGAGAGAGAGAATGAGCGAGCCAGAGAGAACACAAGCAGGGTGATGGGCAGAGGGAGAAGCAGGCTTCCCACTGAGCAGGGAGCCCGATGCGGGGCTCGATCCTGGGACCCCGGGATTATGACCTGAGCCGAAGGCGGGCGCTTAACCGACTGAGCCACCCAGGCATTCCTGGGGGAGGGTTCTCAAGGTTGGCATGATGAGGACCCAGCCCCATGAGTAATGGATAAATAGACACATGTGATGGTGAGGTCCCTTCCCCTCTAGACTGTCATCTTCCAGCACTATGTCCCAGCATGTTAGGCTTGTGTGCAAACTGGCTGTTCTGAGGCTCTGAGTAAGTGCTTGTCTTCTAGGCAGACTGTGAGCTTCAGGGTCGTGGTGGCTTTTAGGTTTGTGACCTGTGTCTGCTGTGGGCACTCAGAAATACCTGCCCTCCCATAGGATCCTCAGTGGGACGGTTCATTGCTTTTCCCAGAATCCAGTGGGATTCATTGCTGCACTTGATTTATAAGGAAACGAGGCCTGCACAAGAGGGAGCTCTCTGGTGTCACAGAGTGAGCGGGCCCAGCTGGGACTGTCCTTCTATGCTGCCTCTGCAGGGGTAGAAACTGTCCTGAGCTGCTGGAGGGGTGGGGTCCTCCCAGAGCCCTCCATCGCCTCTCCTGTATCCCAGTGCCTGCCCAGCCCCTAGCAGGCTTATAAAGGCCAGAGTTTTACTTGTAAAGGGAGGAGTTGTAGAAGAGGATGGGGAAGGGGGGCGCCTGGGTGGCTCAGTGGTTAAGCGTCTGCCCTCGGCTCAGGTCATGATCCCGGGGTCCTGGGATCGAGCCCCGCATCGGGCTCCCTGCTCAGTGGGAAGCCTGCTTCTCCCTCTCCCTCTGCCCCTTCCCCTGCTTGTGCTTGCTCTCTATTTCTCTCTCTCTCTGACAAATAAATGGGTGAAATCTTTAAAACAATTTTTTTTAATCAAAAATTAAAAAAAAAAGAAGAAGAAGATGGTGGGGTCCAGAGCGCTCACCTTCTAGAGCGCTGAAGTCTGGGCTGGTACTGGACTGCAGAGGTGAGGATGGGGGTGGGCCCCTGAGATCTGGGTCTTATCAGCTGCTCCAGCCCCATCCAGCGGTCTGTGGGTCACGCTCTCGGTACAGAGGAAAGCAGGGACTCTGGCAAGTGGTTGCAACCTTCGAGCCTCCGTTTCCCCACCTGTGAAATGGGACTCAGCCAGTGCTTCCTTCATGGGGGTGGGGGGCACCTGAGGCTCACCTGGTCCGTAGGACGTGCTCCCTTGATGGCAGCAGTCTGACCACCAACTGTTACAGTCTCTTGGACTGGGTGTGAGGAGACAGAGTTAGGGCCCAGAGTCAGAGTGGGGGACCCTACTATGGGGAAGGCTCACAGGGGTTAGGGTGTGTGACCCCACCCCTTCCTTCCATCCCAGCTCCCGTGACTCAATTGGCTCTCCTGGCCAGCTCACCAGGAAATTACTGCATTTCCTCCCCTCCGGGGCTGTGCCAGTGGAAACAGCCTGTGCACCTGGACGCTGTGTACCCGCACGTGGGAGTGTGCATACCTGGAGGGCTGTGTGACAGTGATGGTGACAGCAGACTCTCAGCAACTTGGGGACAAACGTGTTAGAAATGCACAACTGTTCTGCATGGCAGCTCTCTGCTGGCCAGGACTGCTCCCACTCACAGCTGAAAAGACCCAGGTTTGGGGCGCCGGGCTGGCTCAGTCGGTAGAGCATGTGACTCTTGATCTCGGGGTCATGAGTTTGAGCCCCGTGTTGTAGAGTTTACTTAAAAAAAAAACAAAACAGGGGTGCCTGGGTGGCTCAGTCGGTTGAACGTCTGCCTTCGGCTCAGGTCATGATCCCAGCATCCTGGGATCGAGTCCCGCATCAGGCTCCCTGCTCAGTGGGGAGCCTGCTTCTCCCTCTGCCTGACGCGTCCCCTGTTTGTGCTCTCTCTCTCTCGCTTTAATAAATAAATAAATCTTAAAAAAAATAAAAAATTAAAAAAGCCCCCAAAACCAGGCTCAGGGTGGTTGAATCACATGCCCTGTATCATGCAGCTGGAATGCAAGGGTGGTTTAACATATTTTAAAAGACAGAAAAATTATTTGATTGTCTTGATAATGCCAAAAATGCATTTGATGTAAAACCTGATAGGAAAGTGGGCAAAAGATTTTGACAGAAACTTCATGAAAGAGGATATTCAAATGGCCAGGAATCACAACCCCTCAGCATTAGGCATGGGTTTGTTGATTGTCTGTCTCAGCCACCACAAAGGCAAGGACTCTGACCATCTGGTCACCACTGTGCCCCCAGGACAATGTCTGCCTTGCAGACAGTAGGTGCTGCATTCCTATTTGATGAAGGATCCTGCAGGCAGAGAAGCGTGTATGCACCTCACGCATCCACAATGCCCACTGACTTGTACTCCATACACACGTCCACAGGCATGATGGCCCCGGCTCAGGAACCCCTGGGCTGGAGTTCCTACTCACCGACTGCATGATACGGGGCACGAGATTCAACCTCCCTGAGCCTGGGTCTTTCTTTCTTTCTTTCTTTTTTTTAAATAAACTCTATACCCAACGTGGGGTTCAAACTCATGACCCTGAGATCAAGAGTCACATGCTTAGCTGCATTTCACACATTTTTTTGCTGTTGTTTTGGCTATTTCCCCCCAAATGCTTATATTTTTATGTTTGCAAATATTTATTTATTTATTTTAGAGCGAGAGAGCGTGAGCTGGAGGCACCGAGGAAGAGGGAGAGAGAATCTCAAAAGCAGGCTCAACACTGAGCACAGAGCCTGATGCGGGGCTCTATCCCACGACCCTGAGATCATGACCTGAGCCAAAATCAAGCATCAGACGCTTACCCCACTGAGCCACCCAGGCGCCCCTGTTTTTATTTTGAAAAAGTTTTAAACCCACAGAAAAATGGAAAGAATGCCCATTTACACTTCACTTAGGTTTACCAATTGTTACTATTTCACCTCATTTTCTTTCTCTCTCTCCATATATTATCTATCTACATTTTTTAAGTTGCATTAGTCATGGCACTTTATCCCGAAATACTTAGGTATATATCTACTAAGATCATTCTCCTATATAACATTGATACATTATCACACTCAAGAAATTTAACCTTGATATAATAATAGTATTTGATACCTCATCCAATTCAGATTTTCCCGGTTGATTCAGTAATTCTG